ACATGTCCAGGCCACCGAACTCAATGTTTCAAGATAGTGACACATTGAGTTATCGTCGCTGTGCCCGAACACACGATGCCGAACCTCTGTATTATTAACATGGTGTTGCCCTTGAATGTCGGAAACCCATAGGAGAAAACGATGATCAAACAAAGAGGGTGATACCAGTCTTGTAAAAGTATTTTGCACTTAAAAGGTGTAAACCACATGCCATACGTACGGACACTAACTGCCGATTGATTAAGTGCGGACTGCATAGCATGGATACCATCACACAGTAAGACAATATCATCCACACACTCAAGGTCAAAGAGTCGTTTTCTCGGTGACAGGTCTACACCACCATTACCTACATTCATGAGAACTGTTCCCAGAACCCCATAGATGGCAAAGTTGAAGAATGGTGAAATTGTTTGAACATCTCTAACCCCACTGCTAGAATAGAACAATGGAGGTGGTTGTATGCCGTCAATCTACCTGAAGTGCTTGTATATAGGGCTCTTAAGGTGTGAATAAACTTCTCAAACAAATCCTTCTTCAATAGACAATCCCAGAGAATGGTCCCGTCCAGCGAAGTGAAAGAGGCCCTAATGTCGAGAAACACTACGATAGCCGACCTGTCATAAGTATGACGGTGTTCTAAACTTTGGGACAGGGTGAAGATATGATCAATGCATCCTCGACCAGAACGTAAACCAACCTGCTCCTTCCTCGCAAGACAATCTTTCTCGGGTTTTCAACAGTCTACAAAGTACGACGGAGGCCAACAGTTTGGACGCAATCGGAAGTAGATTTATCCCCCGATAGTTATTGAAGAAACGAGGTAAGTAATATAGGCCTGGCAACTTGTGGCGCTCCAAGATTTGGAGTTCATTGCGGAATTCCACCTCGTTAGGTGGATCAGTCATCATCAACCATGGAGGGCAGGACAGTCTGATCGATGGTGCTGGGGTGGTAGACTAGCTGAACTAATCCTCGAAAAACCCTGCCCATCATCCAAGACGTCGATGGATGTTAGTGACTGGCATCCTGTCATCCTCACAGAATGTTTCGCTCACACTAGACTTCTTGATGCCAGTGGCTCGGATGAGTTGGAAGAACTTCCGGTAGTTACCAGATGCAGCTGCTGCTTCCAGCTTATTAGCACGCTCCGACCACCAGGCTTCTCGGTTTTTAAACAAGCTTTACTCAAATTCATCAGATAAGTCTTCGTTTGTGGTCAGACTCGAGGTCACTCAGAGTAGACCGACGGGTGTCAATGAGTTGTAAGGAGCCCAAAGAAACTCAGTGTTCATAAGCGGGACGTTTCGCGAGGTTGCGAGCGACTTTACTCACCATCTTAATAGCGTCATGCAATTGTAACCAAAGCTCATCTTTACTTTTCGGTGGGCTGGTAACTAGCCTTGAACCTAGCGCGGTTTGATATTTAGTTGCGACAGAGGCTGCAACCAATTTACTGACATCGATCCAATTAAAATGATGAATTTGTTGATCACTGAAACGTAAGGTAGGATAAGCACAAGGAAAGGCATGAACAGAGTCCAGATAGGTACTCCACAAGGTGCTCCAGTCTTGTAAACAACAACACCAGCGATAGCTGATCGCGGTGTGATCAATCTGAGCCCTGGTTTGAAATGCAGAAGGAGGACTCCAAGTAGCAGATCGGCGATGGTTGTACCGGTGGTTAGTCCTAGTCAGTAACAGGTTGTAGTAGACAATCACCGTTATCTGACCTGCGACCAACAAGTCCTCATTAGCTACTTAGCGACTCTCTTCTGTACCTAGATGCCTGACCTGAGTGTTTAAGTCTTCGGTTAGAGCTATGATATCTGTAGAACGCACTTTCTGTAGAAGAACAATTAACTGGCGATAGAACTTATCCTTGATCGCATACGGACTGCACAGGTGGAGATGTTGAAAAGACATCGTTTATCACACCGATTTCTTCGCATTTTGATGGAGCTTTCAAATCTAACAGCACATAAACAACTGTTAATGGGGATCTAATAGATCAGTGCTGCTTCAGCTCTAGCGCTTAGTGCGACACCAATGCCAGCGAAACCACACGAAGAAGCCAGTGTCCTCGGAAAAACGCACATGAAACAAGCTTCTCGAAGTGACAGATGGAGAGCGAATTTGTAGTATTTCACTAGTCTTGAATACGGGTCTCAGATAGACAACAGATATCGATGTTGAAACTTTCTAAAGACATAGCCAAGCCTATCGGTCATCCGATCTGCATTAGTGTGCGAACGTTGAAGGAGGCCAGTTTAAATGGAATATGTGGTTTCAGAAAGACTGGGTCAGTATTCATAGTCAGCGGCAGCATTCAAATTTCGACGTATCAGCGACTTGAGATCCTTTATACAGGACAAGGTTTCCATCATAGGCAAGCTGCTGTATAAGTTTAAAAGTGAAAAAATAAAGATGAGAATAAGGGGCAGTGTATAAGTGACGTAGTATAAAAGAAATAAAAATAAATGTTATCAGATGACTGAGAATAGGATTTGTCTGGATAAGCGTTGAAGCAATAGAAAATTTTCCAGTCGTAGTTATCATTGGTTTGTGTGTGGGCTGGGATACTGCCCGGGTGCCCAAACTAACGTAAATAGTTTTCTTAGAGGGTCACACCCAAATCCTTTGATTTAGAGGTCTAATCCTCAAGGCAGTAGAGCAACGATAGGACATGCAGTCCAATGGTACCGGTCACCAACAATAGGTTCATACACCATTTGTTCTTTCAGTATCCTGGAGACTATATGCACCATTGGCTTGGAATCAGGGTTTTCCAACTCCCCCAGGTGGACTCTCCGTGCCCACCGACCCGGTTAAAGAGCTGGGAAATCGCTTTGCATCCTCTCAATTTCATAAACAATACCCCCACCGTGAGAAGGTAATGATTAGGACTTTTTTGGCAGTGGCTGTATATGCGAGGCCATGCGTGAGCGTTTCGAGAGAGAGAGCAGGCTCTTTCTACCTTTTGGGGGCAACCGAATAATAAGTTATAGTCTGGTCTCAGTGAGGGTAATTCAAAATAACGAAGGTTATTTTAAGACTTAACTGAGGCGCAAGAATGTGGAATCAAATTTAAAGACATATCCTGAAAACGAGATCAAAGAGGTTTAAAACTTAGATTTATGTCTTTGTCCATCTCATTCCCAATACTTGCCTACCTAACATGCTGACATTTAAAATAGCTGAGTAAATTAGCACATAATATTAGCTTGCGATAAAATAACAAAAACCCGTGCAGTCTAATTATAACGTCTAAACACGAATTTACATTTACAGTTTCACATTCATATCATAATAGGAGATGCATACCAGATTAGCTAAGTAATTGAATAATCAAGTGTTTAAGCTGTCAACTGTAAATAAATGCAGTGAAGTATCCATTTAAAGAACATTATGCGAATTAGTCACATGCTTCTTTCAAACTGTCGCCACTGTCAATTAATAAAAAAGCAGAGTTATATTGATTTTAAAGCAAATCAGTTGCGCCTCACTCTTATTAGTTAATTACGCCACTTTAAAAGACTTATCAACAATAGAATGTTTTTATCAAATTATGATTAATTTGCCTGGAAGAAAATAGTTAATCTATTAGAAAACAAAAGCATGCTTTGACTGAGAATATGAGAAAACCAGTCACTTTCTATACCTTTCCAAATGTTAATTCTACATGCGGTATTGTAAAATTAAAATTGGTAGCATTTGAAAAAATAAAACACGTGAATCCCCTAAAAATAATATTTGAACATAAATCCACATTCATGCTCAAAATTTGCCACAATTACTAAGATCAGTTGGCTTGCATAAGAATGTTTAGTGTTTCAAAATGTCACATTAATAAGCAGCACAAAAATTCAGATAATGAAACGCGTAAATAATAAAAAATTAAGAATAGTAAGTACATAGAGTAAATTATCGTGTAAAAACTTTAATTCATATTGAGATATTCTAAGAAAATACATTTGATATATTTATGTTTTTCACAATAAAAAAAAAAGTGACTATTATGTAAAAATGAAATGATGAGTGG